TTTTGTATAAATATAGGGGGAATGCATTTTTATTTCAAGTAAATTACACCTTCAATATTCCTAATGACTGAAGGTAAGATTAATTAGACAAATGAGATTAAGCTACTACCTGTCAAGTCACAGTCATCATCCAGCTTTATCTACGTAATGAAGGATGATGGAAAAGGTTATCATTCGAGACTAACCCATATGTCTCCTCCTGCTTGTCCCCATCCCCAACTGGTGTGTTTTACTTATCCCTTCTGGGTGATAAAATATCTTCAACACCACTGAGGTTCTCCAACATTCTAGATATTAAATACTTCTGTGTCAAAACCATATAATCTAAGTTAACTGTGTTAGATATCTAGATAGCTCTTTTCAAAATCAAGTCTCTAGGTTTTCCTAAATTATTAATGTTTCCAGCTGGCACTGATATGTCTACAAAGTCCCTGATTTTTTTTTTCACACATCTTTCCATGTAGTTCTGTAATTTCATTGTGTTTTCCCCTTCATAAGTCATTAGTAATAATAAGCGAGTGTTTATAATCAGTGTAGCCTACACTGATTCTTCTAGTCTGTGAGTTTCTTGCTATGGTAAATCATAGATTTTTCTCTAAATGAAGTCTTTGTACCCCCAATTGTTTTCCTTGCTATAAAGTCTCCCATGCTCTTTTTAATATTAATAAGAGATGCCTCAGTTTACCCAGAGAATTCTAAATTTGACATATGTTAAAATGCCCCCAATGCAGCCCACAGTGATATAAGGGAGGTTTACTAGACATGAAACAGGGTGCTCATCACAATAACTGGTATAATAACCTAGGTTAAGTCTGTACAAATTGGACTTTTTCCAATGAGTTCCATAGCCAATGCTTTGTAATTAAGCTTGTTGCCATACATCTAATGTCAGTTGCCAGGAATACTCTCCACATGACATCAATCTCTCCTGGTCCTAAATGTAAAGTAATCATTATCTCCTAAAGCAAAACATTTATTCAGACCTCATCCCAGGACACTTCATAGTAAGAACTATAATATTAGCAACCCACAGAAACGACACTAACAGTAGGCTGAAAGAGCAGTGGCCTTTCTACATCAAGTATTGCCAGCTAAGACATTTTTAGTTTTGGTGTCAGTACTTAAGGGCTTTTGGGAGAACTGTGCATTATCTCTCTAGCTTCTGGAATATTTACCTAAGTGAGACAACACATCAGCACATTAACAATAGTCTAATGTTGAGAACTATCTCTGAGGTTCAAATTCTACTTATACTAAGTAGCATATTTGCATAATCTCAGATGGAAAAACTTCTTTTTCACTGAGCTCACATGACTATATGTAGTTTTCCATCACTAGTTATGGTAGTTATTTCTGCATTGTAATACCTGTATCACTCCTACTGATCTATAATTATTTTTCAACAAAAATTCCAATTGGATTCATTTGTACCTGCTTCATAACAGCAAGGACAGGGTCTTGATCAATCGCCTATCAGAAAATAAGACCCAAGGAATGTAGCCAAGACTAAGAAGGAGAGAGGGTAGCAGTATAAAGGCACTAGGAAAATAAACACCCACTGAGAATGGCAAGCCTGCAATAAAACTTTGACAACAAGAAAACACAAAACCAAAGAGATTTCATAGTCGGTGCTTAAAAATTCGATTCCAGTTGATGTCCTTGAAACCCCCACGGTGGAGTAGGGCTGGGGGGAAAGGGGGCTCTAGGCCCATGTTCATAGTGCCTAAAAAATGAAAAGAGGTTTCCATGATGAGCAAAATGGACATGGATCATGACCTCATGGTGCTCACATTCTGAAAGGGAGGTCAACATTAGATAACTGCATGAAGAGACATAAACTTGTAATGAATTTCAGTTATATGGTGCTGTGGAACCAAATGATAACAGGTCATGATCTGGTCAGGCAGAACAAGAAAGGCTTCCTTCAGGAAGTGACTATTGTGTTGAGATACTAGGCAAAAAGGAATTGGGAGTGGTGATCTGTTGAGGGAGAAATAATCATGTGCAAAGACTTTGGTGGAAGGTCATATGATGTGCCTAGAATGCAAGAAAGGTGAAGAGCACAGTGTGAAATAAGTTGGGGACATTTAGAAAAGGGCTAAACTGGGCGCCTGGGTGGCTCAGATGGTTAAGCTTCTGCCTTTGGCTCAGGTCACGATCCCAGGGTTCTGGGATCGAGTCCCGCATCGGACTCCCTGCTCAGCGGGGAGCCTACTTCTCCCTCTGCCTCTCTCTCTCTCTCTCTGTCTCTCATGAATAAATAAATAAAATCTTAAAAAAAAAAGAGCTAAACCACTTGAATCAAATAAGTTAATGTCTATTAAAAAGTACTGGAAGGTGTCAAATGATAATATATTGATTATTATGATAAATGGTTAAGCCACTGTCAATTAATGTTATCAGAGTTGATAATTTCCAAGTCTTAAACATAAGGAAATTTGTTTCAGAAAAATAAAAATATGATATATTTAATGTCAGTAAGAATACTTAATATTTAGAAGGCATATTAGTTTTGTAGAGTGATTATCATTACTGCTGTGCATATAGTAAATTATCTTTAGATACATATATACATATGTATATATTTAGACAGGCATGCACATTTCCTGTTCAGATATTATTGTTTATTGTTTAATTTTATCACAGTGCTTTAAACAAGAAGGAACAGTAGAAACAGACAGAAATACTATTTTACTGACTAAGACTAACTGAAAATGCCACAGTGAGAAAAATAACCATCATAACAACCACCACTACCTCAACTGTCCTACACTAGTAACGAATAGATATTCCATTGCCTCATTATTTTACTACTTCTCCATGCTTTACTTCCTCTAAGAAAGTTCCTAGTATTCCATTTATTTTTAAAGGGATTTTAATGGACGTGCTATGAATCTTCAATGAGCTATTTGAAATCTGAGGAACCTAATTAGGAATGTATTTACTTTCTCTTTTTTTCAGGGTGATTAATTCCATGCAAGACTTTCAGCCTAATGTTACTCCAAAGAAAAAAATAGAAAGGTAAAAGGAGGTTCTACTTCTACAGACTAATGGACTGGTAATTTAAAAATTGAATTAAGCATTAACTCAGAAGAGTCCTTCTCAATATATAAATTATTTCTGTTTAGCCTTCTATTGCCAGGTTAATTAAGGAAATCCTCTAGCCTTGATTATAACCATTAGTAAATGAAAATGTATTTGAATTCACTAGTCTTGTGATTTATACTAGAGAATCTATGTGAGTAAATATATTTCCTATGCTAACAGCTTTCATAAAGTCAGATGTGTTATTTAGAAAAGTCAGCTTTATCTGTGGAAAACAAAAATTTATTAAGTATCTAATTTATTGTTTGGGCATATAAAATCTCTGTAGGTTCTTGGGGGGTTGCCTTTAAGAAACAAACCTTATATATCTCTATATCTTCAAGATGTGTGAAATCAACTCAAGCTTAGTCGGGTCCTCCATTTCTTTAAAAAAGCAAAACCTAGAAAATCTGAAATGTCTCCCTCAAGTTGCTTTATTTAATAAAAAGCGCAAGAACAAAAACAGCAAAAGCAATTTTTAAGATAAATGAATAAATGATGTACGAAAAGAGTACAAGGTAATAAAACATGCATAGAAAAAACCTACACTAAAATAATGATTTGTAATCTATCTTCTGCATACTTAGACTCATCATTTTATGCTACAGTTATAATGAATTAACTTCAATATAACCTAATATATCCTATTTGTTTATGTCTTAAAAGTAGTCCTTCTAAATTACTTTGAGTACACTAGCAACAACATACTGAATGCCTGTTTTAGCTATGAAATAGATAGCACCACAATTCAGAAATAAATTCTTAACAACAGTCTTTCTGTTCCCTTAAAGATATAGACCTATCTGTTGCTGGAATATTGAAGCCGTAATATGTTGCAAAATAAAACTAAGGTTATTAAGTATTTTCTACCCATTCTCTTCAAGGAAATTTTAATTGCTAAGCACCTAATTAAAAAAATAATCTAGGCTAAATCAAACTTTTACTGTCTATAAAAATGCATGCATAATCATTTTGTGTGGTGACATTTTGACACAAATATATCCCTAAGAGAAGCAAGGGACGCCTACACCGTGTATTTGGGAAACGGGAAAAAAGAAATATGTCAAATTTAAATCAAATAAACTAGAAAAATGGCAAAACAATAGGATTAGAAGTATGAACTAGGAAAGTCTGAACATTCCCCAAGATACCATTTTTACTTTTCAAATCCTATAAACATAAATAATCATGTAATTGATGTATTTACCTGATACATCCAGTAATTAAAAAGCCCAAAGATAAGTATGCAGTTGGGAATTGGTTTGGGGGTGCCGTGTAATATATTACATTACGCATCTTGTACAATCTTCATGTCCTGATTTCAATCCATGTCCCTACCTGTGATTTCTCTTTCATTTTTTAGTTTGCATATTTATAAGTTGCGATAAATTCTCCTTCAAGGACACAGAGAACACGTTACTCAGTAAACCAACAAATCAAGAGAAATGTCATTTCCTGCACCAGTCTCTTACTCTCCATATACCATTGGAGATCACAGTCATGAAAAGGGTAGTTGATATTTAAGAATCAAAAGACCAGAGATTTTATTCCATCTTCTTAATTCATTAGACAAGCAAATTTAATAAAATATTTGGTCATGCTGAATCCATTTACTTATGTGCAAATATTATTTTAATCTCTCCCCTCTCTATGCCTCAAAGCTGCAATATAAATCATGATAACCATGTGAAGCAGTCCTGAAAAAAATCTCAGAAAACCCCATAAACATATGGGTTATCAACATAAAAAGTAATAACTATATCTTCAGAAAGATAAAACTCAAAAAAGAAGTCAAATAGTCAGTGATGAATAATCCTGGTTTTAATTTGTATATGAATTTGCAAGATTTCCAGTTAGCCTCCTCTAAGTATTTTTAAAACCACGGGCAACGATCAAACTGAATGTAGTCAACTTACTTCTGGAGCCAGAAGAGTTCCTCACTGCTGTGAAGGAGTCAGCACTCTGCCTGGCTGCTGAAGAAGACGGACAGGGTGAAAGCATCTCCAAAGCTGATTCTGAGGATAGTGTCAGAAGGGTGCTCAGCTACTACATATCTTCCCAACACCTGGCTGAATGGTTACAGGGACTCTTCAAAGGAGACAAGCACAAAAAGAGTGTATCAAAATATGTCTATAAATATCTTTAAAAAATAGAGTTGCTGTTAACTGCGTGATCAATCCCAAAATATATCAGGAATATCACTAAATATAATTTGAACAGATTTGCATAATAAGGCTTTCTAATGGCCCTGATTCCAACAGCTATGTCAGCGTTGTGTTTTTCATCTTTAGAGGTTTTCTTATCTCATAATTGAAGATAGTTTAAACAGTCGAAAGATATATAGTTCAATTTTCTTTACATTTCAATTAATTCAACTTGCAGACTAATGTTAAAAAAATTACAAAAGTCAAGAAATGTTTAACCATCATCTACTATGTACCAAGCACATGATGCTGGCCATTCAGCAGTGAATGAAGCTCATAAATCCTGCCCTCATAGCAGCAAACTGCTTTATGTTGTGATGCCTGTATTTCCTTCAAGACAGAATCCACTTATTTAAACACATCGATAATCTACAGAGGAAATCCTCAGATGTGCCACTTGTATTTGAACTTCATGTCAGAAGATAGCTGATTTCTACCTATTTCTGAGAGTCCCATATTAATCTAAATAATAACTGATCTACATCTAGGAGACACAATATTTAACTTTCTTTCCCCTAACATCTATATAATAATGCCAATTAATATTCAACCACTAGCACTTTTAATGCAGAAATGGGCTGAATTGTTTAAAATGTTTTTTAAATGAACAAAGGCATTGTAATTTTACTTAAGTCATGATTTATTTTATCTTATTAAGAATCATATAAGATGATACAAAAACAGTTTAGGTTTTGTTTATTGTTTCTGCTGTCTCCATTTGTAAAAATGTGTGAATGATCTTATAAAGTCAAAATTTAAGAGGGTGATTATATTGTCCTGAGATGGCTGATAATTACAGCTTAAAAAAAAAAAAAAAAGTAAAGCTACTGCTTAAAGTTTATATTGAAATTACTCAGGAATGTTAAAAATCAATGAACAGATTAATGGTAAAGTGGAATAAAAGTAAATTACAGTTCATTTCAAATTACCTTTATGAATCTGCCAACTGATGCTATCTTTTTAAAATTTATATTTATTACAAAAGAAAGATGTGTCTTAGAGAATCAGGGAATAATTTAGATATACCACATATACACATACATGAATATAAGTCAATCATATGCCAACCATTCTGAGACAGCTGTCATTTGCCTTGTTATTTATTTCTTTCCATGAATATTTTAATTTTTACATTTTATATGCATGATAAAAATATAAGAAATACAAAAGCAAATCTCCCTCCAAAGCAAGACATATACCCCTTAGAAGAAACAAATTTCAAATTTCAGAACATCCTCCCAGAAATACTTCACACATATATGAATGTGAATCTGTGTGTGTGGATTTTTATACATATATAAGATTGTACCCTATTTTGCTCTATTCCTTTTATTTCATACACCATGAAGATCACTCCTGTTTTCTATTATCGACCCTATTCATTCTATCCATGAGTTTCTATTATATACATACAATATAATCTGCTCATAATATGTCCAGGTTGAAAATTAGCAAATGTCCAGGATTTTATCATAAGATGATATAATCAATGTCCTATTATACATCTATCTATGTACACATATTAGTGAATACATTTATAACAAATTCCTAGAAGTAAAATGTTTAGGTACAGAAGCCTGCTATTGAAACTCTGATTATGCTCCCTCCCTGTAGTAAAGAGGAAGTATAAAGCAAGAGCAAAATATTATTAATATCTCCAATTATTATACTAACAATAAAAAAGGACTGATGATCAACAGTATCTCCATGTCTTCATTTTAGCATGGAAAGCATAGTAACTGCTACAATCCTTTCTAAATTCTAATAACCCAAAGCTCTTTTTATCTACAGTTATATCATTTATTAATGATAACATTTTCCCTTTTCTTACAATAACTTTTATTAAGTACTTACTATGTGCCAGCTGCCAAAAAGCATCTATTATCTAAACCAATTCTCCCAAGAATCAAATGAAATAAATGCATATTCTTATACACTGCTATGAAAAGTAGGGATAGAGGTAAGTCAACTAGCCTTGAGCAAGGTCATATAGCTAGCACCAGGCAAGCCTGGGACTTTTAATCTAGGGCTAGCTCACTCCAAATCAATGCTCCTGTATCTGATATTGTAAGTGAAGATTTCAGAAAGCCATTATAGAATTCTATAGTAAAGAAACACAAAGAAGGTGCTGGGTTTTTTGTGTTTTTTTTTTTGTTTTGCTTTTTGCTTTTTAGTCCATATATTTTGGTCAGTGCAGTGCCAAAAATAGTAGGTTTTAGACTGGTATTCTAATACTGCAATTTTGTGGTGCGATCTTACAAAGATATCCTTTTCTACTTGATAATATCTTGAAATAAAACATCTTATGAGAAATTCTGATAAGTTCCTTAGTTCCAAGTTGTTGCTATGTTGGCCTTCTTCCACAGTCTTAGAAAATTTGGCAACTGTTATTGTTTATGTACATGTATTCCCAAGAAATATGGTTCTTCCTCCAACAATTATCTTGAATGCCAACATTAAACTCTGAAAGAACTCAGGAAACATGGGCAAAACTCAGAAAGTTATTAGGGAATATTTTTTTCAAAATGGAGAATCATGACCCCTTCCAGATCCTAGTGGCATCTTCTTCCCCTCAAGGTCTTCGCTAAGTGCTCATCAGTTGTCTGAACATATACTTTGATTCAAATCTCACTATCAAAAACAAACAAACAAACAAACAAACAAATCTCACTATCGATAAAGGCAGGACTTTAAAAGTCTTATGAGCCTTGACTGGAATCATAGCAATGACCATATTATTCAGTTTTCTCTCTTAAAATGAAAAACAATATTACAAAAAGTTGTCATTATTTCAAGGTGCCATACATCTGAAAGTATCAATCTGTAATAAAATTCATTGTAGGCATGTGATAATTTTGTTTCCCTCAGGAAGTTTTTCCTAAGGTTGCCCTAAGTTTTACCACATTGATCACTAAAGAAACCCTTGAAATATTTGAAGGTAGCAGTAACATAATCTTAAGTATTTCCTTCAAGTTTAAAGATCCACTTTGAGCAATTATGAATCCACCAAAAAGCATCATTACTTATCTTTCTCCACCTTACCTCTAATAGTACAAAATAAATAACATGAAGGAGCTGATCTCATTAGTTTTTAATTATATCTACCTTGTGTTGAAAATGATTAAAAATTAAACATTTAGTCGTCCAGATGTTTCAGCTACATGATGCAAAAACCCAGCTGTTTTGAAATATATGATGAATAAATGAATTAGATGGTTTCACTGTAATTTAGTCAATCACTTATTTGATAATCATATAATAATATATTGTTTGGTATAATATAGCCATGATCTTAGTGGACTACTCCAAAAATGAGGGTATAATATAAGAAATACTATTTTATTAAGACAAATAACTTGAAAAAAATTTGGACCAGAAATATAGAATAAAATCAGAAATTATTTTTTGATAATGGGTTTTTGAAATGCATAAATATTCAGGGGGATTCATAAAAATGCTATTATTAAAACATGCTTGCCTCATCACCAGTACTGTTAAACCTAATTTAAAAATTAAATTAGAAACCCTGATTGAATATGACCTCACTGATATGAGGAATTCCTAATCGCAGGAAACAAACTGAGGGTTGCCAGAGTGGGGGGTGGGGTGGGAGGGATGGGGTGGCTGGGTGATAGTCATTGGGGAGGGTATGTGCTATGGTGAGCGCTGTGAATTGTGTAAGACTGTTGAATCACAGACCTGTACCTCTGAAACAAATAATGCAATATATGTTAAGAAAAAAAAGAAGATAGCAGGAGGGGAAGAATGAAGTGGGGGGAATCGGAGGGGTAGACGAACCGTGAGAGACGATGGACTCTGAAAAACAGAGCGTTCTAGAGGGGAGGGGGGTGGGAGGATGGGTTAGCCTGGTGATGGGTATTGAGGAGGGCACGCTCTGCATGGAGCACTGGGTGTATGCACAAACAATGAATCATGGAACACTACATCAAAAACTAATGATGTAATGTATGGTGATTAACATAACAATAAAAATTTTTAAAAGAAACCCTGATTGAATATGGAAATCTATTTGTGTTACTGAATAAAGTGTACCATATACCCAGCTATAGGAAAATGTTTACAAATTATTATACACATCCAGGATCATATGATAAATAAATTAATGCACCACTAGAACATTTGTTGCTTAATGTAAATGTCACTTGTAAATGAGAACAACTAATCATTCCTTTCCTCTAATAGCAAGTGTTCAGCAGTTAAATAAAACATAAATCTTGGTGACCTAAAAATTTTACTACTGCATTTGTAATTTCCTGTTAACAACTCAAGAAAATAATTTTAAGTGATGCTGTATTTCAGTAACATACAACCCAAGGTGGAGGCGTATTTGGGAGGGGCAGGGAGAAAGTATAGACAGTTAACAGGAGGAACTGTGGTAATACAACTGCTCTATATTTTGACTGTGTTTGTATCACCTACATATGTGATAAATTTTAGGAAACGAAATGTAAATACCCACAAGTATATGTAAAACTGATAACCTGAATAAGGTAAGTAGATGGACTCAATGTCAGTTCCCTGGTTGCAAAATTAGATATTCTACTACAGTTATACAAAAGGTTACCATTAGGAATAAAACTCTGCATAGGGTCTATGGGATCTCTCTGAATTATTTATCTCAACTGCATATGAATCTACATAATGGCATATCAGGTGACTTAGAGTGACCCTTAAGGGCCAATAATTTCAGGCTGCAGGCTCAGCATTCATTAATAGAAAAGGAATATCTAAAACATCAAGTTTAAGATTGCAATGAATTATTTGGTCCTTATCAAATCACATCTGGGTTACAGTGTGTCTCACAGAAAGACTGGGAAAAAACTTAAATCCATTAGTCAATGAAAAGGATTGAATTGCTCCTTG